GGGACTTTTGAGCAATGAAGAAACCAGTGCCCCTCCCCTGGGAAGCAAGAAGTTAAATGGTAGTCATACTGCGCTCACCTTGCCCTACAGAAATGGCTCAATATCAGGAGGCAGATAAGCCTTGCTTAATGACCCTCACCAAGAACGTGCAGGGATGCTCAGGGCCCCTGGTGGACCACGTCTCCCAACAGACACAGTTGCTTTGCCAAAATGTTCTTAGAACTGCACCACATAGCCTGACTTTTCCTACCCACCCTTTCTTCCTTCCCTCTCTCCTGCACAGGGGTTAGACCTGCATTTAGTCCAACAGCTCTCCCTGACTACTCTGGATCTCTCCCCATTTTCTCCACAGGCATTTTCCCTAATAAATCTCTTATACATCTAATCCTCTTATTTTTTTTCTGTGAGGAAGATCAGCCCTGAGCTAACATCCATGCTAATCCTCCTCTTTTTGCTGAGGAAGACCGGCTCTGAGCTAACATCTATTGCCAATCCTCCTCCTTTTTTTCCCCAAAGACCCAGGAGATAGTTGTATATCATAGTTGCACATCCTTCTAGTTGCTGTATGTGGGACGCGGCCTCAGCATGGCCGGAGAAGCGGTGCGTCGGTGCACGCCCGGGATCCGAACCCGGGCCGCCAGTAGCGGAGTGCGCACACTTAACTGCTAAGCCACGGGGCCGGCCCACGTCTAATCCCATGTTGACACCTGCTTCTCAGAGAACCCAAACTAGAACAAATGGTGCCAGTGCTGGTCCAAGAAAACAGGCTGTGATAAGATGGAGTTCTGGGACTGCTTTAGTCATTGCCTATGAGCAAAACAGACACTGTCCTGACGGGAGTGTGGGGCATGGGTAGTCCTAGGCACGGGGTGGCAGTCCAACTGCTAAAGATTTCTCTGGAGATGACCTGGGAGAATGGCCTTGCAGATGTGGTGATTCAGACTTTTGAAAGATATGGGAGGAATAAGGCCTACAGAGACAGCAGAGATGGCTGGACACTATTCAATTGTACTTATGCTCTGCAGCAGAATAATGAGAAACATGAGTTAATAAGTACCTAAAGACTAAGTGTGACAGCCAGAGGGCTTCCGTGGAGCTTACAAAGAGGCCCTTACTTCCTACAGTGGAGAAGCAAATAGAGCTGAGCAACAGAGAGGACATACTCGAGTTGCAGAACTCCAGGGAGATTAAATACTCAATATTTAACACGTAGTAGGTCTGCTTTGCTGAAGCGAGGGCCACGTGATTTCATGTGGTTGAAAAATTCTGGGACCCTGAAATATGGGATGGGAACATCTGGCCAGACACCCATGAGGGTGTTGGTTCTGCAGAAATCCCCGCCCAGCCCTCAGAGTGCAGAGGGGACCAGCATACCCTAGGAAGAGCTAGCACCTCCCCTGTGCTGGAAGATGCTGCAGAGGCTGCTTCCCCCACAAGGCAACTGGTGCCTCTTTCTGAGGAGCTGAGTCCAGCCCCTCTCCTGGAGACTAAGCTGAAAACTAGGCTTAGATCCCAGCATAACCTGGCCGGGGCAGTGCTGGGCCTAACACAGGAGAGAACACACCAAAGAGCTGCAAGAATTAGCTGGCTGGTACTGACAGGAGCCAAGGAAGCACTGGGTTTGGATTTCAAGGGTGCTCTATCAAGAGGGCCAGAAAAGCAAGAATTGAGACTTGGGAGCACTTTCTCAGGATACAGGATTTAACGCCCTGGCAAGGACCACAGGGGGTGAGAAATCTCCACTAAGGTGGCACTTAGTGGCCCATAGAAAGTGATGGCCACCAGAGAAAAGTAGAAAGGCCTGAGCTGCCATGACAAATGGCAGAGGAAGGAATGAAAAGGCAGGGGGAAGTGGGCATGCTGGAGTGGATAAATTACATGAGGTCAAAACCCCCAACAGAGGGTAGTGTTCCACAGGGGAGCCCAGAGGACACCCCACTCACCGAGGCCATAAGGAAGGCACTGTGAAAGGGGCACTAGCATCACTAAGTGCAGAGGCTCTGCAGGCCAGAGATGGCAGTAAGAAACCACCAGAGAGCTGCGGCCCCAGAGTAATAGATACCAGGTAGATGTGCTTACCCATCAGAAGCCAGAAGGCCACAAATACCAAAACAAACCACAAGGTCTGAAGGGCAGCCAAGGAGGCTTTACCCACAGGGAGTTGTGGAGATGGCGAATGGACCACAGTGTCCCTAGGAGCAGTACAGATGGCCAGCCAACAAGGGTATTGCTCAAGATCTAAAAACTGAAAAAGACAAGAGTGGCGGAGCAGAGGATCGAGGGAGGTTCCCCCAATAAAAAGTCCTAATTCCTTGCTCAGTTCCAGACTTCAGACCATTTTCAGATCTGGCAGAGGTAGCTGGGTCCCTAGGAGGAAGGACAATGGCGAGTATGCGATGATTCCCCCCGTACTTCCCTAAAGGGACCTATAGCCACCTACATGGGGGTCTGTACACTGGGGAAAGAACAGCTAGACGTTTGAGGAATACTGGACTCAAGATCAAAGTTGACATCGATACCTAGAGACCTGAAGCATCATCATGGCTTCTGTTAGACTGGGGGCTTCGAGGGCCAAGTAATAACTGAAGTCCTGGCTAAAACAGGACTCAGAGTGGGCCTGCAGACCTACCCAGTGGGCATTTTCCAGTCCTCAACTGTGTAACTGGAACCGGGTTGGTAGCTGGAAATAACCCCACATGGGTCCTTGGCCTGCAGGGTAAGAACTGTCACAGTGAGGAAAGCCAAGTGGAAACCTCTGAAACTGCCCCCCCGACCACCATGGACAAGAGAGTCAACTGTGACACTTTTCTGTGTCAACTTGGCTTAAGCTATAGTACCCAGTTAGTCAATCAACTAATCTAGATGTTGCTGTGAAGGTATTCTGTAGATGTGGTTAACATCTATAATCAGTTGATTTTAAGTAAAGGAGATTATCCTAGATAATCTGGGTGGGCCTCATCCAATCAGCTGAAGGCCTTAAAAGCAAAATTGAGATTTCCCTGAAGAAGAAATTTTGCCTGTGGATTGCAATATCAGCTCCTGCTCAAGAGTTTCCAGCCTGCCAGCCTGCCAGCCTGCCCTATAAATTTCAGGCTTGCCTAACCAGCCCCCACAACTGCATAAGCCAATTTCTTGCCATATATATGTATGTGTATATATATGTATACACATACTCATATACATGCAAACACACACACATACATGCTTTATCACAAGGAACTGGCTTACAGTAGGATATGTATACCCTGCTGCTTATTTCTTTGGTAAATCCCTGATTGATATATAAATCAAAAACAATATTACATCCCAGGGAAGATGGAGTAATCAGTGCCAATATTAAAAACCTAAAAGACGTAGAGAGTGGTAGCCCCTATCATATATTTGCACCTATGGCCATATGCAGGTTCCTGTATGACCAGCTGAAGGAGGAAACAGCTAGAGCTTGGTTTACAGATGGGTCAGCTCAGTACGTGGGTGCAAAATGAGGATGGATGGTATCCGCTTTTACAGCCACGTTCAGGGGTGGAGAAGGAAAATTTTTCCAAAGGACGGAACTGCAAGCAGTGCACTTGACTTGCTGTGGAAGAAGTGGCCTGAAGTGAGACTATTTATTGAACATATACAGACTCCTGGGCAGTGTCCAATGGCCTGACCATCTAAATGGGAGCCTGGAAAGAAAAGGGCTGGAAGATCAGAGACAACGAGGTCTGGAGCAAAGGCTGTGGATTGACATGTGAGAGCAGGCCAAGTCTGAAAAATTCCTGCATCACATGTTAACACCCACCAGAGAGCGTCCACCATGGAAGAAGCACTAACCCACCAAGCAGACAAAATGACTCAGGTGCTCGGGCTTTCTCAATGGCTACCACACAACTGGCACGATGGACACATAAGCAGAGTGGCCACAATGGCTGATGGAGGCCCAACAGCAAGGACTCCTGCTTACCAAGGCTGATCTAGCAGACTCTTGACAGGCAACTTTGGCTCAAGGACTCACCATGGGTCTTGCTGAAACGTCCTTACAACTCCACAGCAGTCTAAGACTTTTCCGACCCAATCTCGCTTCTTTCCTTCTCTCTCTTCTCCAGAGGTTAGACCTACATCATAGTCTGACAGCTTTCCCAGACTGCTCCAGCTCCCTCCTCACTTTCCTTCATGGGCATTTTCCCCCCAAAATCTCTTGCACGTCGAATCTAGGACTCAAACTAACACACCAGGTAATCTAACTTAGTGTGCTCACTCTTAAAGCTCTAGTCCTCTGTTTTGCAGGGTCAGAAATTCAATTTTAAAAATTCAGCAAGGGTATTAAGGTCCTGTGTAGTAATTCCTACCAAACTCATAAAGGAAGGACTGATAAAGTAGAATGACAAGACTCTCAAAATGAGAAAGAATTGCCAAGCAGACCAGACAGATATGCAATGGAGCTGAAAAAGTGTTCCCTTCTTAGCAAGAACAGCTACTTGAAAAGCAGACTAAGCCCCGAAGTAGCCTGGTATGTCTGGAACATGGAAAGGGAGCTGGCTAGGCAAAAGGTGGAAACAACCCAAGCATTCATCCACTGATGAAGGGATAAACAGAACGTGTTATATCCCTCCAATGGAATATTATTCAGCCATAAATAGGAATGAAGTACTGATGCATGCTACACCATGGATGACGTTTGAAAACATTATGCTAAGTGAAAGAAGCCAGACACAAGAGGCCACATATTGTATTTCACTTATACGAAATGTCCAGAATAAGTAAATCCATAGAAATGGGAAGCAGATTGGTGGTTGCCAGGGAAAAGAGGAGGAGGGAATGGGGAGTAACTGCTAAATGGGTACAGGGTTTCACTTTGGGGTGATGAAAACATTTTGGAAGTAGGCAGCAATGATGGTTTTAATGGTGGTTTACACTGTGAATGTACCAAATGTCACCGAATTGTTCCCTTTAAAATGGTTAATGTTATGTGAATTTCATCTCAATAAAAATAAATAAATTGCAAGAAAACACGTGGAGACATATTAACCAAAAAACAAAAAGCAAAAAAAAAAAAAAAAAGACGTTTAAAATTTCAAAAGAAAGGGGGGGAGCAGGCTGATGTTAAGAATCGTTATCACATTTGCATCAAGCTGTCTGAACCTAGGTAACCCAGGCTTCTCCACTCCATGGCTCTATCTGCCAACTGGAAAGGTCACTGCAATGGTTCTAACCATCTAGCACACAGATTAAAAGCCTAGAATTGCCTGGTATTTCCCCTTTCTTGGACATTTCATCATACAGTGGGGTCATAACTTCAAAGGCCATATTCATGAACCCCAATTTAGGATACATACTCTGATAAGTACCAAGTGTATTCCCAGGAACAATGGATCTTGCTCCAGGACATTCGGCTGTTGAAACTATAGCTCTCTCAATCACTCCAATACGCAAGGGATGACAAGAATTCAGCTCAGAGATTCTACATAGAGAAATAGTAAAAGCATAACTGAATTTGATTGCATTTTAGAAACGTAGTTAATTTCCAATTCTACCGAGGAGCTGAGCAGGCTGCAGCGTCAGTGATGCCTGCGGTCACTGGGATTAGAGGACTCCTGGTCCCAGGAGTGCCGGGCCCTTTTATGCCTATGAGATTTATCCTGGCTCCTACTTCTACTTTTGTGACTACGCCCCTCAGAACGCTCACTGTGCCGGCTAGAATGCGTGTCTGAGTTTCGACCTCTGTCTCTGTCCCTGTTCTTGTCTTCTCTTTCTTCCCTCCTGCTTGAGGACTTGTGTTCGTGCGTGGGCTTCTCCTTCTTGGGCTCCCTCTCTCGGTCCTCTGCTCCACTGCGACAGGTCATCGTGGCCTCAGGGGAGCTGGGGTGCTGCTTCTGCTCCTCCCTGGACTCTGACTTCTGACCCCTCTCTGAGTTCTTGCTGCTGGACTTTTTAGAGCCAGGGTCATCCTTTTCCTTTATCGCCTTGCTTCTGGGTGATGATGAGGAGGCTGGCTGCTCTGCCTGTACCTCCCGGTCAGTCTTCTCTTTGTCTTTCTTTCTTTTCTTTTTTTCCTTTTTGTCTAGAGGGACAAAGGGGTTCAATCAATAAGAAAAGGAAGATGGAGGAGATGGAGTATATGTAAAAGGAAAGCATCCCTGGCAGCAGCATGAAGCAGTCATAGTCTATACTTCCAGAAAAGTATAGAAGCCAAATTGGATGTCCGTCACCCTCGATATGTCAAGTCGGTGTAGAAGGCAATTCCCACCTTTATTTACCTCTTTAATGACACTACCTCTAAATAGAGTCACATTCTGAGGTACCGGAACTTCAACATACAAATTTGGGGGGACGGAAGTCAGACGATAATATTAGACTTCCACTGATACATCTCCTTTCCCAATTAAAGTAAGGTTCTCCACACCTTCCCCGTTCACACTTAAGCACTGATTATCAACTCTCGTTGAATCCTAGGAAAAGTAAACACTAAGACTACCCAGAATCTTCTCTTGGGTCTTAACGCTTTTACCTTTTTTGTGTTTTTTTGTGGGTCTGTCATCTTCAGAGCCCTCAGATGAACTCGGTGAAGGGGTGTGAGCCCCACAGCCCTTCTCCTGGAGCCCTTTGGTCACATCATCCATTTCTTCTGAGTCCTTAGGAGCCCGATAGTTAGACACATGATCCACTCGGATAGTTCTTCCTTTGATCTAACACAGACAGGCAATGCTTCAGCAAAGACAGCCCTCCTAACAAACTATTTGAACTCAGCTACAGAAAGCCAGGGTTTGAACCACACCCATTACCTTTCTGCTAATTCTATTTCTGAGGAAATCTCTAAAGCAGACGTGCCCAACTGGTGTGTCACAGCACATATACCTAAATATTAATTCGCTCAGCCCTCGGGGCAGCCAGGTGGGGCCTGGGGCTGCTGGCGCCCTCGGGGCAGTTGTACCAGCAGCAGCATCAGTTTACCCCAGTGTACCATACAAATATTTTCATGTTCTGTGTGTGCCAAGAAGTGAAAAAAGGCTGGGAAGTACCACCCCAAAGCACAAGCAGCAGGGAAAACTGCGAGAATTTAGATGCACAAACAATGAATTACCCTCAATCTGTAACATTAATTTACAGTGAAACATACCAAGAAAAAGCCTGGCAGCTGGAAGGAATTCCTGAAATCAGGCTCAATGCTACAGCTGCTTTCTCCATACAGTGATTAGGATGAGGCCAAGGCACACCGATAGTTGGGAGGGGGGAAGGAATCTAGAAAAGACCACTTTTTTTCTTTAGCCTTCACACTTGTCCTACCCCCACCATACTGGAACAACTGACTCACACTGATACTTACACTGTGATTCACAACTCTCCAGGTGGTCAACAAAAAATTAACCCCTCACTTAAAAAGATTCAGGCAAATACAGACTTATTCTATAGGCAAAGCCATTGAAAATTTAAAAAGTCTGGCTTTTATCGTTCCAATACAACAGCAGATTTTTATGCTTACCTTTAAGCCTGAGTGGCTTCTGTCCTCTATCCTATTCCCCATTTCAAAACACTTTGAAAACCTTCCTTTTATGGTGACTCCCTTTGACTGCTGGCTCTCTTAAACATCAAGCCTAGAAGCTTGTTCCACCCCGTCCAATAGTCTCCAGCTGTTCCATACTGGTGCAATCAGTGACAAACTCTCCAAGTCAAGCGTCACCCCCCAACCGGTGACAATGCTCATTTAACTGCAGTGCTTTTCCTAAATGAGTGCAGGGACCACGTGGAGCACAGATAAGCCTCCCTTGCCTCATCTCCTTCTCGCAGCCCAACGTCTCACAAGGGCGGGAGTAAGAGGGCACAGAGCAAAGAAAACTTCAGAATGAGTTACTTATGTAGAATTTGTCATCAGATTGTAACTAGAGAATTTCCAGGGCCCAGTATTGCTAAGTCTGTGGAGACATATGACAGACATACACAGCTATGTCCTAGGTCATGAAGCCATGACGGAGCCCAAATCCCCTGACACAGGACAGCATGGAAGAGATGAGAGCGGAGTATGAGGAGTGAAAGGGGAGCAACAGATGCCTGCTTGGGGAGGAGGGGCATAATACCTATGCTCCTGGGGAGCCCCTGGTTTGCTAACAGATGAGGAAAAGCAACAAGTGCTCTCAGGGTCATGAGCCAATACAACTATTTCCGAGGATCATTTCCTGGTCAGTATGTCCCCACACTGCTGCAACCCTCACAACACACCCAGCTGACCAGTAATGTCCTTAAGACTGTGGCGACCAGGTGGGAAATGAAACCAAACCCCTGCACACAGGAGAAGTCAGGCCAAATCCTGCTTAGTAAGCACACTCACCTTGATCCCATTAAAATTGTCAACGGCCAGAATTGTGCTCCTCTGGTCCTCATAGCAGAGGAAACAGAATCCTTTGGATTTCCCAGTCTTCTTGTCCCGCACCAGATTAATGTTAACAATTTCTCCATATCTATTTATTTTATAGAAGAGTAAGACACTATTGATTTAAAATGCAAAAACTTTCAGGTTGGATGACAAAACAAAATTCAAATAATATAGTCTGTACAGGAGATACATCTAGAACAAGATAACATATAAAGATTAAAAATAAAAAGTTAGACAGGGATATAGCAGGAATACCCAATTAAAAAATGGGTGGTAATATTAAGATCATAGATGAATTCAAGGCCAAAAAAACATTAAATGGGACTAAGAGGGCTCTTTTACAATGCAAAATATCCTAATGCATAACAAAGATATAAATCAGGAAACTATACACAAATTAACAGATCAAAAATTTAATTAAAAAATGATTAGAAATACAGAGAAACTAATAGTTAAAGCTATGAAAGATTTTAACACACCACTTTAAGTTCATAACACATAAAGTTGACAAAAATAAGGTCAGAGGAATTAATTAATATAATATATAATTATGTAATATAAATACAAATAAACATATAATTAATAACATAACAATTATACTGTTAATAAATACTAATGTCAGACTAGTAGATAGACAGATAAATTTGAATCTTACAAAAAGATGACAATTTCTTCTCAAGAATTCATGAAACACATATTAAAACTGACTACAGAATAGGTCCCAAAGTAAACCTCAATATCATCCCAAAATAGAACAGAGCATGTTCTCCAATCACAATGTTATAAAGCTGGAAATAATTTTTTAAACAAAAAACATGCTACAAACTAGAACTTGAAACCTACTCTCCTAGCTAACAACCGGATGAAGGAGAAAGTGAAACAAAATAAAGAAAAATAATTGATGGCAGACTATTTAGAAAATAACAAAAATGAGAAGAATATATATCAAAACTTAATGGGTATGGCTAAAACCATATTCTGGAAAATCTGTAACCTTAAAGAATTTTACTGTTAAAAAAGAAAGAATGAATATAAAAGAAAGCAAATCTAAGGAAAGCAGAGGGGAATTAATAAAGATACAAGTAGAAATTAATTAAATAGGAAATAGAAAAAATTCCACCTTACTCCTTATACAAAATAAATGCCAGGTAAGTTAAAGCTTCATAAATTAAAAATAAAGTCATAAAAATAAAATAGGAATTGATAGATATGTTATAACATGATCACATACATACACCTCAGCCCGAAATCTAGGCATCTTACTTAACAGAAAATACTAGAGATGATTCGACTAAGGTCAGGAACTATTTAACACTGTTTAATATTGCAGGTATTGACCAATGAAATTAGGAGAAAACAGATATAAGAAATGAAACAAGAAGAAGTAAAACTACCTGTTTGAAGATTATACATGATAGTATATATAGAAAACCCAAGAGAATCAACAATAAACAGTGATAAAAACAAACAACATAACAATTCAGTAAGGTAACAGGATATACAGTTGACAAAAACAAATCACCTTCTTACAAACAATAACCAGTTAGAAGGTATAATGAAAGAGAAACTCCATTTATAACAGTAATGAAAAAGATAAAATACTTAGAAATAAACTTAACAACAAGCAATGTACAAAGCCTATATAAAGAAAACTTCTTAAAACCCCTGAAAGACACAAACATCGACTTGAACAAACATAAAGACATCCCTTGTTCTTGAATAGGATGACTCAACATCATCAAGATAGCAAAATCTTCCCCCAAGTTAATACTTAAATATAATGTAATCCCAATTAAAAATACAAGTTGTGTTTTTTCTTCCTGGAGCTGGATAAGTTGATTCTAAAGTTCTTATGGAAAAGTGAACATGTAAGGATAACTGGGAAAACTTTAAAAAAGAACAATGAGGGGGAATAACTCTCCCAGATACTAAACACACTAAAAAGCTTCTATGATTAGTTAGTGTGGTACTGGCACATGAAGAGACAGACAGACCAACAGAACTGAATGAAGCCAAGAAAGAGACCCAAGTATATATCGAAAAATTAGTATATGATAAGGGTGGGATTCCAATTTGCTGGGAAAAATATGGACTTTTTTAATAAATGTTGTTGGAACAACTGGACAGCCATTTGAAAAAACATGAAATTGGATTCGTATCTCACACTACAGATCAGAATAACTCTAAATGGATCAGAGATTTCAACGTATAAAATTGAAATCATATAAGTACTAGAAGAGAACACAGGTGGGTGGGTGGAGAGAAATACTTTCTAATTATGACTCAAAACGCAGAAGCAATAAAAGACTGATAAATTTGACCACATAAAACACTAGAGGAGTAGACTATAAAGGGACAGCACGAGGGATTTTTTGGGGTGATGGAACTGTTCTTCATCTTAACTGTGGGGTGATTACATAAATATATAGATATATTAAAACTCATAGGACTGCACACGTCCTAAAAAAGTCAATTTTACCATAATTTAAACATATGAATGAAAGAATGAAAAAATAAAAAAATAGTTCTGCATAGCAAAAAAAAAAAATCACAATAAGCAAAGTCAAAAGACAATTGACAAACTAGGAGAAAATATTTGCAATTTATATCACAGGTTAAGGACCAGAAAGCAATTTTTTTTTCCTTTTGCTATAAAGGACATTATCAGGAAAACTGGTGAAGTTGAATAAAGTCTACAGGTTAGATAATACTAGTGTATCAGTGTTGATTTCCTGAATTTGGTCACTACACTGAGGTTATAGTGTCCTTGTTTTTTGGAAAATACATGTTGAAGAATTTAGGGATGCATGGGCATCATGTCTGCAACTGACTCTCAAATGGTTCTGAAAAAAAAAGTTTAAGTGGAGAAAAATAATAACAAAGCAAATGTGGTAAAATGCTAACATCTGGGGACTGTGACTGAAGGGGATACAGTTATTCTTTATACTATTTTATAACTTTCCTGTTTTAAGCCTGAAATTATTTCAAACTAAAAAGTAATGGGCTGGCCCTTTGGCTTAGCGGTTAAGTGAGTGCGCTCCGCTACCGGCAGCCCGGGTTTGGATCCCGGGTGTGCACCGACACACCGCTTGTTCGGCCATGCTGAGGCAGCGTCCCACATACAGCAACTAGAAGGATGTGCTGCTATGACATACAACTATCTACTGTGGCTTTGGGGAAAAAAGGAGGAGGATTGGCAATAGAATTTAGCTCAGAGCCAGCCTTCCTCAGCAAAAAGAGGAGTATTGGCACGGATGTTAGCTCAGAGCTGATCTTCCTCACACACACAAAAAAAAAAAGTAAAAGAAAAAAAGAATATAGGAGCTGGCTTGAAGGGACTCCTACAGACCAGACTGGGACAGATTGAGCATCAAGAAATAATGATGTCAATGTAGTATAACCCATCAAATTGAAAAAAAATAAGTCAGTAATACAATACGTGACAAAGTGTTATAACAAAGAGTTAATATCCTTAATACATGAAGGGCTCTTATAAAATCAATAAGAAAATGAGGAACACACCAACAGAAAAAAATAGGCAAAGGATATGAATAAGCAATTTATAAAGAAAAAAATAACAATGGCCTGTAAATCTATGAAAAGATGTTCAACCTCACCGATGATGAAATAAAGGCAAAGTAAAGTAATAGAGAAGGAATATGGCAAATATTCTTTTAAATAACCACTGCTCTTAGGATTCAGAAAAATGGGCATTCTAGTGAGAGTAGAAATTGATATAACCTTTTCAGAGGACAATTTGGCATGTTTATAAAACATCTTAAAAATGCTAACATACTGATCCAGTAATTTCACTAAGGAAACCATCAGGGATGCATACAAAGATGTAGATACTATGATATACATTGCAATATAATTTATAACAGCAAAATATTGGAAATAATGCCCAACACTTAAAAAAGACAATAAAGAAATACACCAAAATGTTAACAGTTTTTCCTTAAAGTACATTCTATTTCCTTCATTATACTTTTTCCTCTTGCCAAATGTTCTATAATGACTATACATTAATAATCAGAAAACAAAATATTTTTGAAAGCCACTGTTATCAGTGGCAAAGGCAATCTTCATGGAGAGCAATGTGTGTAACCAGAATAGAGAATTAGAATAAATACACTAGCTGATCACCACTCATTGCAAATAAGACAAAAACAGCTCCTAGATGGAAGGCTGGACCAAGCAGAGGTACCACAAAGGGGTGGAAATTATAGGCTGCACCTGCTGTGAACTTCCCGATGGCCTGAAGTTGAGGAAGCAGCCTCAGTCCCTGCAGGGCGCTCTGCCTGCGTCGGCCGCCCAAGCCCTCTACCATGGGCTTCTCACGTGTACTGTCCAGTTTCTTTCCCACGGCCTTCCGTCCTACATGCTGCCCAACTACTCAGCCAGAACCTGCTACCCGCTAAGTTGCCCAACCACTCAGCAAGGGCCCTCTGCTTATGGGATGGTCCTGCCATGGGAATGCCACTGCCAGGGTGTACTGGCTGTGTCTGCTTGCTGAACCCCTTCCACCACGGTCCTCTGCCTGTACATGCTGTCCAACTTCTCTGCAACAGTCCTCTGCCCCTGAGAGCTACACAACCCAGGGGCCACAGCCCTCTGGTCCTATGGACTGTCTAGCCACTCTATGTAGCTCTGGGGTTGTGCCCAGCCCCTCTCCTACAAGCTGCCCTACCAGTGTGAGTTGCTAAGGCTCTCTCCTGCCCAGTGCTGCCACTATCATCTCATAGCAGAGTGAAGAATATGAAGTTCTCCCATTCATTCTTGTTCCTTATCAGCCTGTGATTCTTAACCTCTGGGTAAAGAGATTGGCTCTGCTCACTAACCTTACACTCATCTAGAAACAAAGAAACCAAACTACTGCCTAAACCTTTTGCTTTTTTCCCCTCTGTGATTTGCCCTAATGCTACAATGCCACACAGGTGTGGGCCCAGAAGGGCCCTGTGATCATATCACGGGTTACCGCTAGTTTGTAGGAGCACAAGGAGATGGACCAACATAGTACCTTCCTGGGAGTTCCAGTCAGTTCCAGTGTAGGCCCAGGCTGAACAAGCCTCAGTAAAAAAGCAATGAAAATAGATCAGAATCCCCAAGACAGCCTCCTAAATCATCCAACTTCTTGGATTTTCCACATCGGGAGAGTTTTAGAACCATGTCCTGGGACTGATCTAGACTAGAGCAGAAGCTACAGCCCTCCCCATGCAAGGAGGCCGGTAAGCCTAGAATGAAATGGCTTTTGTGATGCCACAAAATGCATCATGGAAGCAAACTACTCTGATGACCCAGAATGCAGGAAATGAAAGGGGACTTACTGTGAGAACACACAGATGATGTCCCCTTCAGTCAGTTCATAAGGAAGCCCTCCTAGAAGAGAAAACCACATCTCAGCTCAAGAAACATTTACCAAGTGTCCACTACATACGATGCACTAGGCCAGGCACTGGGGGTGCAAAGAAGAGTAAGCCAGAGGGCCTGCCCTCAAAGAACTCAGTCTGATGCAATGACAGAAGCACATGTAAGGTGCAGCAAGAAGTGTACAGAAAAAGGAGTGGTTAACTTTAAGTGGAAAGGTCAGGGTCACCACTAACCAAACTAATCCTCCTCACACCCAAAATCTTATGGACAAAGAAGATAGTTTCCAGCACAAAACTCTGCTTCCAAAAACATATCTTGAACTCATCTGCCCTTTACCCACAAATTCATAGCCAAGATCCAAATTCAGCTTAAATAGGCAAATATTAATCCCACCTCACATAGACTAAGGATTAGAAAGACAACTGTAAAGCATTTCATAGAAAATAAATTTCCCTGCAAATGTTTCCCTCCTCATCTGTAAAACGGGGATATTGGTACTTACTTCACAGAATTGTTATAAGAATTAAATAAAACAATAAATTTAAAAGAATTTTTAAAAACAATATGGGGGGAGGGTGAAAGGGGTAAAGGGGCACATATCTATGGTGACGGATGGAAACTAGATTATTGGTGGTGAACACAATGCAGTCTATACAGAAACTGAAATATGATAATGTACACCTGAAATTTACACAATGTTATAAGCCAATACGACCTCAATAAAATAATTAAAAAGTTACATCTCAGCAACAATAACAAAAAAAAGCATGGAAAATTTTAGAGAAAATAAACAAGGAGAGAAGATTAGATACAAAAAGAAAACAATATAAAGTGCTTAGTACAATGTCTGGTGCAATAACCTTTTGAACTGTCAAATTATTGGATATGACACAAAGTAAATACAGAGATGGTAACATGGCCATGGACAGAGGGCAGGAGCTAATTAGATGAGGAAAATGAATTCTGAGGGAAGGGAAGTGAAGGGGCGGGCAGTTAGCAGTAATATGCGATAGAGGCTAAGACCATGAGTTCTAGAATCTCATAGTTCTGGCTGTTCTACTTACTAGCTATGTGACCTTAAGGAAGTCCATTAACTTCTCTGCACCTTAGTTTGTCATAATGGTCTCTGAGAAACCAAGTGGCAAGACTCTTAGCACAGTGAATGGCAGACAGTAACTACCGTGAGCACTGATTTGGCAGGGAGAGCAAACTAGAAACGGGGAAGAAAAGAGATATGGAAAACCAATTTACGGGCAGACAGCAGAAGAAAAAAAAAGTAGGTGATGAGTGTCAGGACGAACGAAGGGCGGGGATGCTGAAATGTTAGGAAGCAGGCCAAGAGAGAACGAGGAGCTCTGCGGAAGAAAGATGTGGGCCTCACCCAGGAAGATCCAGGCGCTGTCCTTGTACTCGGAGTGCCAGGACACCTTATCTGCCACCCCAAGCTGGACCTCACGCTCATTCAGCTCGTTGATCAGCTTCACTTTAGTTAAAGGGCTGCAGAGGGGGCAGACAAGCGGACAAGTAAGCGCGGCCTGGCCTGAGATAAGGGAGAGCAAACCTACGGGACTAGTTTTCTAGTCTCCGCGCCTCTCCCGCCCCTCAGCCCTGCAGACGCTCTGCCACCCCACCCGCGGTGGGCTCTCCTGGCGGTCCGCCCCCCTCCCTCCGAGGAAAGCTGAGGCCTTACTTCATCTCCGCGGGTTCGCGCTCAGCACAGAGGCACCGACTTCCAGGCGAGGCTGCAGGACGCACGCGCGGCCCTGGCGCCGCGCCCCCATTGGACTAGGTGGAGCTCGCGCCGCGCCGGAAGAGCTCGGCGGCGCCGGGGCCTGGCGCCTGCGCACGAGTGCAGGAAGCGGCTATCCTCGCTCAGAGGGGCTCGCTCCTGCGGAGAATTTTTTCCTATTCCCTGTTTTCTTCCGTCTGTGAAATGAGGCATGAGAGCGAGCCTGGTCTGTTGCAGGATCCCCAGTTCCTGGACGACGCCTGGCATTGATTGGGTTAGCTATAAATGTTTACTGAATGAAGACTGAAAAAGGTGCCTGATAACAGCGACATTAGTCCTAGCCTTGGCTCCCAGTGCAAATCCCCACGCGGGCCTTCGTTCCCAGCCAGTCGCTCATACACCGACACACACACCCATCAAAGCATCGCTGTTGACGAGTTACGGCAGAAAAGTGAAGAATATATGTGAGAGGGTATCTTTTTTTGTCCCTCAAATCCCAATGCACAGGCAACTAACCAGTGTGCCTCTGTAGGCTAAATTGAATACTCGATTTGTGTGAGAGCTGCTACCCTCACCCTTTTCCATAGTCTCTCTCTTACTTAAGCAGGAGACAGAAATTAATATTGTTAAATTAATAGCTAACAATTGAGCAGATAATGCTAGATTATGTGCTAAGCTATTTACATGTATTGGCCCTCCATCCTCACAAGAACCCCATGAAGTCTCTAGATACAATTACCATCCCCATTTGATAGAGGAAGAAACTGAGGTTCAAAGGATTTAATTAGCTTGAAAGGTACTCTGCCTCTACCCATCAGGTCTGGTTGATTTAATTAGTCCTTACTGAGCATCTATATTTGTCCTGTACAGCAGGTCTGTAGACAGGAGTGTAAGGTTGAGTTCTTTGCCCTCAAGGAGCTAATAATATCATTGAGAAGACAAGACATATTTGCTTGATAGATTTTTCTCCAGAAATAACCAGGATCCTGTAGAATAGATGGTGGCATATAATGTGTGATTTAAGCCTACTGAAGATTTGAATCCATTGCGCACATGTCCACATCAATATCTGGTCTCAGATCATGCACAGTCTAAAAGTGAAGGTCCAGAGCTGTGTAGTTCTCTGTGCAGCTCAGAACCCCAGAAATTAGGCACTTCATAAAAGCACTTTGATGATGATGGTGATGATGACAACTGTACCATCAATGGCTCACCATGTACCCAATGTCCTGCTAAGAAGCAGAGCAGAGACTGCCCACCAATGACAGTTTCTCTTCATTCATTCTGTCTGTGTCCCTCCCCCACCCCAACCCAGCTATTCATTAACTTTGTAGAATTATCTTAGCAATAAAAACTAAACAGTGACAGATTGCATACGGCTTTTATCTGCTCCTAGGAATCTTAGGTTGCTTAGTTGTAGGGTTGAAGTAGCCACTGCAAAGTGGTAAACTAGCATGCAGCATTATTTGGCTGGATTCTTCAGGCGACTGTGAAATGAGAGCGTTGGGGCTACACCTGGGACTTGGTCATCAGCATTCAAAAGAAAACTGAAGCAAAAGAGGAGAGTAAGACCAACCAAAGGGAAGGACAGTTTAGGGTGAGGAGAACATGAGAAGACTGCTACCATCCAGCTGGTGGGTTCAGCAGAGATATTCTGAAGCTGGGAGAGCTGAAAACCGTCCCAGTTTGCTGGGACATCTCCCTGGATGTGCTTGCAATTGGTAGGAATTGGTAGGTAAGATGATGCCTAGAGATTTTTATGAATCTGTGTGGAAAGGGGATGGGGATCCAGAGGACCCTCTGAACTTAATGTCCGAGAGGAGGACCAGGGTTTGCCATCCAAGGTGGCTATTAGTGATCTCCACCAATAGCATTCGTTTAGCACCCATTTTATGCAGAGCTCAGTTCTAGGTTCTGTGGGCAATGCTAAGGAAGTCAAAGGCAGTCACCACATTCAAGGAAAGGCTGAACAATCTGCCTAGCCAAATTGATCCCTCCGCTTCCCACCACCACACCACATCCCAAAACAGCTTTCCCTCCTGACTTCCCTATTTCAGGCAATGTTATCACCATTTTCCTGGTTGCCCAGGTTAAAAAACAGGGGTGTCATATTTCAGTCTTCCCTATTCCTCACCCAAAGATATCTATCCAATCACCAAGTCCTAATAATTGTGCTACTGCAGTGTCTATAAAATGCATCTCATCCAGTCATAGTTCTATCCTGAGTCATCATCACATGTGTCCTAGCTCTTTCAGGACTCTTATGAACTGCCCCAGCCCCTATTCTCCAGTCTTTTCTCCCACTGCTCCCCAACATGAAACCTCAACTTCAGCCAGGCTCCATTTCCATCCATTCCCTTGAGGGACCCTTTCATTATCCAGCCTAGACACCACTGCTGAGAGCCCCACACCCCTGGGCCAGTCTCCTGTCTCTGTCTGAAACCTGCCCAAGCTCCCAACTCCCATCAAGGTATCTCTCGTGCAGGAAACCTTTCCTGACCTCGCCAGCCCACAGTGAGGGCTCCCACTTCTGAACTCTGCAGCACATCGCCACTCTTGTATGTTCTCCTCCAGAAAGACTGTAAGATCCTGGAAGGTAAGGGCTCTGCATTTTTAAGCCCTCAGCAACTCAAATCTCACTTTCTTGCACCCATAGCAAACAACCAATACACTTATTGGTTAACTAAATTGAAAACACACACAACTATGGTTACCTTTAGGGAAACAGATGAGGATAGGGGAAAGAGGCTTTTATTTTGCCTTTGTTCCTTTCCATACTGTTAGAATTTTCTTGCCTTTATTCACATATCACTTACATTTTTTATTGCCATGTTATCTTGGCAGAGAGATCATGACCTTTATTTTCTTGCTTTAGTCTTTTATTCATTCATTCAACAAATATTTATTGAGCAACTATTATATACTAGACACTATTCTGCGTGCTGGGGTTATAACAGTAAACAAGCCAAGCAGAGTTCCTGTCCTCATGGAGTTTACATTTTTGTTGAGGAGGAAGGAAAATAAACATATATATACAATGTTGATAAGTGCTACAAAGGAAAAATAAAGCTGAGTAAGGGGACAAAGAGTGATGGAGTGTTGCTATTTTATAAAGGGTGATTGGTCAAAGAAGGCCTCCCTGATAAAGTGACATGGAGGCAGAGACCTGCAAGAAGATGGGGAGCAAGCCATGTGGGTATCTGGGAGAAGAGTCTTCCAGGCAGAGGGAACAGTAAGTGCAAACGTCCTAAGACAGGAGTGTGTTTGAGAAACAACAAGGAGGCCAGAGTGGCTAGAGAGAAGCAGGCAAGGGGGAGAATGGCAGTATATTTTTGTTTATTTAACAAAATCTGATTTAGTACCCACCATGTACCAGACACTGTTCTAGGTACTTTACACACATTAACTCATTTACTTCTCACAACAACCCTGAGGTAGATATTATTATCCCCATTTTGCAGGTGAGGAAACTGAGGCACAGAGAGGTTAAGTCTCTTGCCCTAGGTCACACAGCTGGTAAATGGTAGAGCCAGGATTTGGATCCAGGTAGTGTGGCTCCGAAGTCTGCACCCTTAGCCACTATGCACAGGATAAGTGGGAGCAAATCAGGCAAGGCCATGTTGGGTAGCAACTTTGGATTTTACTCAATGTGAGGTGAGAAGCCACCAAAGGATTTTAATCTGATTTACATTTTAGCAGGATCACCTTGGCTACAGACTGGGTGGGGTGGGGAGCGGGAGGGAGTGTGTAGGGTAGAAGCAGGAAGACTAGTTAGGAAGATCTGCAGTAATTCAGGCAAGAGACAATGGTGGTTTGCCTCAGGATGATAGCAAAGGAGGTGGTGTTCCATGCCGGTATTTTTTTTAAGCTAAAAATATATTTAAAAAAATATAAGAACACACATGACGCCAACATAAACGCATATCCTGTGTTTGTGAGTGTTCAGGCACTGGGCTAGATGCTTGAGATACTATAGTGAACAAGACCACAGGACCTAGTCCCTGTTCTTGAGCACCTCACAATGTTGCCAGGCAGTTACATGTATGAATATAATACAAAGGGATGAGTGTCGTAAGGAAGGTATGAGTGAAATGCTATGGGAACCAGGAGAGGAATCCATTAATTCTGACTACTGGGGATCAGAAGGGGGGTGGTGGTGGAAAGCTGATTGTCAGAGAAAGCTACAGAAATGGAGGTGACAGTTGAGCTGGGTCTTGACAGCAGTCACCATGTAGATGGAAGACAGGATGGGTGTTGTGCAGAAAGAGCATTTCGAGCAGAAGAACCAGCAGAACCACCAAAGGTAAAGGAATCAAAGCATCAAAAGTATATGTTGTGACCAGGGGATGGGTTGGGGCAGGGCATCCCATGAAGATGGAAGAGGCCATTTTGTGAAGGGCCTTGTAGGTGAAGCCAAGAAGTTCAGATTTCAGCCTGTTGGCAATGAGAAATGATCATACGGCTCAATCATTCAGTCATTCAGCCAACCAACAAGGCAGCCACTTTTGTTGAAGACCTGCTATATGCAGACACTGCATTCAGTGCTGACAGTACAAAGGTGAACATGCTCAGTCTGGAGGGAAAACACGGATGTGAAAAAACAGACGATCTGAGTATGCTCCCTTAACCCTGGGAATGAAATGGTCAATTTTATTTTGGAACAAGTATGGAGGATGGATTGAAGGCATGCAAGCCTTAATGTCGGGAGACCAGTTGGCTGTGATGGGCAGGACCAAAGCCAACAGATTTCAGTGGCACAACATGTTGACTAAAATAGATGTGGTTAGTGAGGAAACATCTGAGGATGACGCTTATGTTTCTGGTTTGAGAGACTACCTGGGTAGTGACACTCTGCCAAAGTAAGAAAGGCAAGGAAGAAGACTGGTTTGGGAGGAAACTGATGAATTCAGTTGGCAAACTGTTGAGTCAAAAGTGCCTGAGGAACCAACAAAGGAGACCGAAGAGGAGGATGACAGATGAAGATGAAGCAGCAGGAAAAAGTAGGATTCAAGAAGAGAGCAAAAGGTGGTCAACATTGTCAAACACTGCAGAAAAGTTCTTTTGGAAGAAGCACCTTTAATTTTCCAGTGTTTTCACCCACTTATTTCTCCTGATCCAAAACAATGTCACCGTCAGGAAAGTTGACTTGAGAGGACCTATAAATCTAACCAGCATGCCATCCTGTACTTACCTGCTCCCCCACTGGAAACTTAGGGATAATGCTGTCTGATGGAAGCAAAACAGAAGCCTAAAAGGGTGGATGTGGGCCACATTTTCCTTGAGTTGAAGATTAAATTTATTTAATTAAATGTATTTGTTTAAAAGATCTGTCCCTTAATTGTAGGTTACTTGGAGAAATAAAGGGAATAAGAAATGATGCACTGTGTTAACAGAGGCTCTTATCATCTCTTCCAGAGATATTAACCCGAATCCATGCATGGGCTTCAGGGAGCCTATGAAGACCCTGAATTTGTACGATGTGTATGTACATGAACATGAACATGTGCGTTTTTTAGGAGAAGGTTCCATAGCTTCCGTCAGATTCTAAAAAGTGTTCATGGTTCAAAAACAACAGGTAAGAACCACTGCCTTAGACCATCTAAGGATTATCTGTGACTACTGTCATCCATAGCTAATTGAGAGCAGTTTGCAAAGCTTAGCGAGAAGCTGTTGCAGGAGAACTGGCATGAGTCATGTAAGTCAGATATTGATGAATTGGAAGCACAAGTGAACCCCCACTGGCTCCCCACAAGCTTGGCACAGCTTGCTCATAGCAATCTGACATTTAGGTAGAATCTTGAGGAGCTGGACAGAGAATTCCAAACTCTTGAGAAGGAGGAGTCCAAGTTGCTTTCAGGGGTGAGGATGCTTTCTAGAAAACACACAACAGATGTCCTTTTACCACCTGGCTGTCATTGTTCACCCTTCCTCCACTGCCCAGGCCAAAGCACCAGCATTCCATACCTCAAGCCGCACAAACTTTGGAAGCTGCCTAAGTTTTTGATGAGCTGACTTAAAAAGCAGAATCCAGTTCCAGGGAAGAAAGGGAGAGAGTAGAGAAGAAATTGCTGAGGAAGTAGATGGCTCTGGTCCAAGTGGAGCCCACCTATCATCGCAAATCACATTTACTCTGAATTCATAATGTGAAATCCCCATTGGCGTGCTAAGGAGCACGCATGCTGAACTGAACTGAACGGGACAATGAGACCACATGTGATGAGGCGTAGAACTGGACCAATCTAACTGGAGATGAATGGAAAAGCATTTTTGAAGGATGACAGGAGCCTGCCTAGAGCAGGAGTTCCAAAATGGTCATCACAATTTACTAAGCAGGTAAATACAGAGTAGGCACTTGATAAACCACTGACTACTGCCCCACCTCCTATCCTCCAAAAGACTCCTTGCATGGTTGGCTTTTACCCTCCTCTCAGTCATTTTCACTGTTCTGAGTCAGACTTTTTCTGGGGTGTTCTGTTGCTGAGCCAGATCATAGAATGGCATATTGACATCAAGGTGAAGAAGCCAGTTAGCAGGAGTGCCAGGTGAAACACTGATCCAGGGAATAGAAGACAGTCTGCAGATTAGGGAAAGGACTGGGTGGGCCATGGGGCAGAGAAGCCGGATAACCGAGACACATCACTGAAAAGACTAGAGCAGATGGGTGATCAGAGAGAGAAGCTGAAAGGCAAGCAAAGCCCTCAGAGATGAAGCACAAGGCGGGCCTGTCTTGGCTCAAGTCACAGTGACGTTGCATGTAGCTGGCAGCATTCTTCTTTTGCATGGCGAGGGCTGGCATCTCTCATGATGTTGGGCACAGGTTTTCAAAGCCATAGGATGATGCCACATAGCTTTCACTCTATCGCTGGTCAGCAACTTACCTTCTGGAGAGACCAGGTGGCATAGTTAGAAGAATATAGACTCTGAGGCTTGGCAGACCTAAGCTCAAATCCCAGTTCCACCGTTTGCTAGCTGTAAAACCCTGGGCAATTTAATTGGCTTCAATTAACTTCTTTGTGCATTGGTGATAATATCACCTCAGAGGGATGTTGTGAGGGTTAAATGAGATCATGCATGTAAAGTGTGTGTGATAAGAAGTAGGTATTACTAATATTAACAATAATCTTCTTCTCAGGTTCCAAATACCCACAGCCATTGTTACAACCACTTTACCCCTTCTGCAACCTCCACATCTTACCCCTAGCTCTTCCTCAGGAAAAAGGTGGAAATGGCTGTCTGAGAGTTGGAGGGCTGCAATATAAAATTCAGGCTAGAATGGCCCCTTGAGTGCAGTCTTTCTTGAAGGGTATTCTTCAAGAGAGACTTTCAATGAAAAAAGCAAGAAGTATTAATTGAATATATATTTTCTCCCCTTGCCCCACGCCATTCCACAAACCACGGGAATTAACCAAAAATGTGTGTGCCTCATTACCCAACTCCTATTCTGCAGGGGAGGAAAGGATTTCAATGTACCAGTCCCAACAATATAAATAAATAAAAGGAGCAAGTAGGTTCTGAGCCCTGAGTGGCAAATGAAAAGGTCTTCATACT